GGAAGGAAGGAAGGAAGGAAGGAAGGAAGGAAGGAAGGAAGGAAGGAAGGAAGGAAGATAACTGCCAGTTTTTCTCAACCACAATTTATACTTTGTTGCCCTCCTCTCTGAGTTCTTTTTAAATGTGCTCATATTATTTTTTGGATACATTTTATTAGTTTACTCACCTGGGCAAAGTTATGGCTTTCTCTCTTAAAGCTATAGTTCTTTGGAGGGAAGAGCATCTCCTGTTCATAAGGATCAAGCATTGAGTGGGAGGTACAGGAGGTTCTCCCTCTCGGGCCCCAGTTAATGTCTGGTTCTCCACTGTATTTCTCCATTTTTTGTACAAAAGGAATTCCAGAGGAAAGCTCCTCTTGTGTTTGCATGACAGCCAATGGTTCATCCCACATGAGTTTCCCAGTGGGATGACATTGTAATTCTTGAAATTATTGCTTCTGAAATCCTTCAAGAGTGAGAACCTAGAGTAAGCTCTAGGTGCCAACATCACAGGAGAAGTAACAGAACACCTGAGTCCTTGTCCCAGGATCCCCTGCATAGCAAGGTGAAGGAGATTCCTGGAAATAGGGTCCAGACTTGCATGGAGATGGTCCCACCTTCAGTTCTTGCATTTCCATTTAGGTTGGAAAACCTCCCACTTGAAATCCTGACTTTCTGCTTTCACTGGGTGCTGACAATATTGACTTCTAGGAACTGAGTCTCAGCAGCTCAAAGATTGCTGTCTTCCTACATGAAGCGCCAGTGCTTTTCCCTGAAACATGAAAACTTTTTTTGTATGATAGTAACAACCACCAGATGAAAGCTTTGCTAGGGTGGGTTTGGTTTTTAAGTTTTTGGGGTTTTTTTGCAAAGAGTGTCATTTCTATTATTTCCAAACATTATCAGAGATTCCCCTGGAATATTAATGTATTTTAGCTTCCACTTGGCAGCATTAGTCGCTCCCAATGTCACCACAAGTGAAAGATGTTCATATTCCTCTTAGCATATGTGACTTATCACATACATTTTTAAAAACGGAGTTCTCTTATGAAGACATATGTGATGCTATACTTCTGCAATTGCGAATGGCTGTTGGCTAAAAGCCGCACACTAACAAGTTGAGCTGAACTTAACTGCGGTTGACATCTGCTACAAGATGGGGGGCAAGGGGGGGGGGGGGGGAAAGAACGGTTCTCAGTTGACATAAGCGTA